TTATTTTAAATGACTGTTTTATTTTGTTTATATTCCATGCCATATTGATATTGTATTCAAAATTAACTTATTTAAAACGTAAATTATTTTCTTTTCTAAACTTATATGAGTAACCATTTTCCTGTTAAATCACTGGCAAATGATTTATCAGGGTCCCAGGACATCAGTGGTGGGTGGTGTGTTCAAAGGTATTGGCGGATGTAGATTGTATTTGGAAAATGATTTGAAGTTGCAACTGCACAATATTTTGTTTCAAAGAACTTAAGACCATTATTATTATTATTGTAGTTAGGTATATTATTTAGAAAACTAAAGGAAATGATAATGCTATAAGCATGGTTCTTTGGATTGCGTTAACGATTTAGCTTGGAGCGCAGTTCAAATGGGCTGGTGCTGCGAAGACGCCATGAGAGGCTGCCACGTGCAATCTTGTCATGTGACTGGCATTAGCTAGTCAAAAATTAATTTACGGGACTGAACTGCATACTGTACAATCTTGCGCATGACCCCGGACGCTGAATTAGAGAGGGTGACTTACAACTTCTGTCTTCATAGAGTTATAGATTATTAATGTCGCGGGTGTCAGAGATACGAAAAAATACATATTTGTATACACATTGTCGTTATTGGCCATGCTTGAACCATGCTTAGTCGACAGCTCAGATAGCCACAGAACACTGTTAATAATCCATGTTGCTATGTGCGTGAATGCTATTCTGGTTCAGTTTAGGAGAAATTCGAGCAAAGCTAAAACTTTTCTCGTTTACATCCAAACCATGAGTAGGCCAGTGCGAAAAAGTACATTGACATGTTTGTCAAACTTTCTTTAATAACCGACAATCAACTGTAGGAGAATCCAAAGCTTTGATTTTGCAAGACATGTGTTGTGCTTATAATTATTCTATATTGCATACATGCTCTTTGAGGTAACCAATATTTATTTAAAGGACTTTCTCAGTTAAACAAATAGAAGGGATTAATATTTAGTACCGTTTCCAAAATAAGTGACTGGGCAGAGCGCATAGAGGACAATGGATATTGTATCCGTCCGTACCCTGACTTAATTATTGAGTGACACAGAAATTAGGGACACTGGTATGAAAAAGCAAAGCAAACCCTACTCAATCTGTAAATATGCGAATTGATAAATGATCATGAAGAATGCTTAGAATATGGGAACGATGATGGATCAGTCTAGATGATATTTTAGTAGGCCATTATATCCCTAGTCAATGATCCTTTATTCAGTTTAGTCCAGGGATTTGGGCAAAGTGGATGAACTCTTTTGTTATCCATGTGCATGATAGCAACGACTATCTAAGAAACATATAATATTTTCTGAAGGTAAATAAATAAAGAATACATTCAGATATTTGACTTAATTATGTACTAATTATTATTCTCATAATAATCACAGAATGCTACTTAATATTATAAATGAGAAATTGTAGATGTTTTTTATTCAATCACAACAAAATGGCTGAAAGGATCTACATAAAATAATTTGGTACAGGGATAGATTGTAGTCTGGAGTAGCATATAGGCTTCCTTTTATCCCGAGGAATAACTTTTGAATATCTATTGGTCGTCTTGATTTAGATTTGTTTAGTGTTTTGTTTTACTTCAAGTATAATACTGTGAGATAATTCACGTAGTATTGTGATTCTGATTACACACTTGATATTATTGTTTTGTTGCACTCAAATGACGAATAAAAATCGTCCATTACCAAAGTATTTATTGCACTACTTTGAACATTGCTTTTCTTTCTCAGAACCCAATCTCGTTGACAGCAGTGCAAAACGAATTAGCTATAGGTTACACTATTTATTTATACAGGTACACAAACATTATCAAATAGGCTTTTATACTATAAAACAGTATTTGATATAACTCAAAATTTAAAAATTTAATTCTCATACATATGTTTAATAAACATAATATAAATAAATTCTCTAAAACCATCTCCCTCATATCGTCAGGTGTTGCATTGCTGTTTGATATAGTATATACTGTGCGAGGGAGGGATCAGCCTCGATGTATGATGCTGCGTCTGCTTATGCTGGTGTGTGTATACTTTTTTTTGTTGCATAAACGACTCCCTACCTGTTCCCTTCTCCTGTGTGGGATAAGGGTGGCTTTTTGACCTGTCTGTGTCCGGGAAATGTTACGAAAGATGAAAGGCTTTTTTAACCAGGGGAGTTTCGTAGTAGGCAACGCGGTTTATATTTCTGAGAGTTACGCTGCGATTTTTTCCACGATTAAGGTATAAAGATAGGCAAATCATCATAATAATAATAATTTATTGATGTTAATACACAGAAAGTGTTTACAGAATTAAACATATACTATTAGAACGCGTAGAAAAAATTACCTACATCAGACATGAATAAAACCAGTTGAAGAAAATGCTACATAACGCATACTAATTAGTAAAAACAAATTAAAAAACAAAACATAAATGTCTTCATGAGATAGATGAAGATGAAGTTATGATAAGTCATTTACCGAAATAGTGCTGTAAGTGGCGCCCTCTAGGAGATTGGCTATAAAAAATAACGGATTCTTGTTTCTCATTCAAGAAAACCTCCCTATATCGAGTTTTATGCCAAAATCTGAATTACTCCTCAAGCAAGAAGGAAAAACAGAAAATAAAATTGTAACTTTGACACCCTGTATCTCGCAAACTATCAACTTTTGGCCTAAGGTATGTTTAGGTCAATTCCCAACCTTTCACAGCCTGTATGATACAATTAACTATACAGATACAAACAAAACAAAAACAAAGACATTGTATATAATCATCATATACAATGATTTCATTGATTTCAGATATTATTATGTGCTATTAAAGAGGAGGAGCTCGAAACAACGAACACATCTTATCACTACCAATACACTTCCCACTCCAACTGGTGAGGGAGTAAGTCGAGAAAATGAAAGGTTTTTTGATGTAACATGATATGTACGTCACGGAAACCATGTCACACGTTTCGGTCAGTCAGTATGTCTGTCGGTCTGCCTGCCCGGCAATTCTATCGCTTAGGTCCAATTTGATGAAATTTTACACTAGATTACTAATATGCCGTAGTACAATCAGCGATCATAGCGTGCAAGATGACATTTCGTCGGTTTGCTTTGACGTTTTTTAGGTTTTCTACATAATATCCGTGCCGGCTGATTCTACTTGGATCTGACGATTTAGTTAGACATTTATGTGAAATAAATTCTCATCTAGAATAATTGTTTTTCAATTTTAGCTTTTCGCCCTCAGATAGTTTGCTAGCATCTAGGTACGCGCTATTTCGTCGATCAATTGATCACGGATACTTATAGGTATATAAGTCTCCAATCTTGTAATATAAATAAATTAAAAAGTTTTATGAGGTGCTGTTAATAAAATGTATTTTGAGTAGATAGATATTGTTAAACTTGATTGAATCGTAATCATAAATACTAAAACGACTAAAAAGGATAAGAAACATACATTTTAAGATTAAGCTTTCATTTAGCTGTTGAAGAACCGGAATTCTTATTCGATTCGATTAATTAAATCAAAGTACCTAAGAAACATCCTGAAACTAGATTCAAGCTGATGGGGATACTTTCTGTGCAATTCGGAATTGATTTTTCGCATCACAAAATGAATTTACAATAATAGGATCGTTCAATAAAATTTGGATAACCATGTGTATTCGGAGTTGTATGAAGTATTACCTACATATAACACCTAAAAAAAATTACAGCTTGATTGGATAGAAATTAAAAAAGTTATACGTCTTTAAATATCAAAATATTTCACGCGCCCGAAATTTGAGATATCATGATGGTAATGGACTATTTCAACACAAATCATGCAGAAATGAGGGGTGTTAAAATGCAGCAGTAAGTGTTTTATACCCAATATATTACATATACAGGGTGTTTCAGTTTATTGTTGCATAACTTTAAGATTCGATAGAACTTTTAAAATTAATGCATAAAGTCTATATAAACATGGGTCGGAAAATGCGTGGCTTCCGAAATACAGGGTGTTTAAATTTTCTTTCTAAAATAGTTTTTTTTTAAATATTTCGAACAATATTTGATGTATAACAGTGAAAATTGGTATACAAGGGTTTTTTGGTACGACAAAACGAACCATGGGCATAGTTTTACTGTAGCCGCTAGAGGGCGCTCTCTACTGTACCTGTAGTGTATTAAAATGACCGAAAAAATTTTCTTAGTGCAATTTTTTGCTTTTTGAAAATTGAAAATACCACTATGAGGTACCATCTGTCTCAACGTTACGATTGTGTTTCCCTTCATCAAATAAAAATCTGTTTCATGTCCACTACGTAATAATGTGAATGACGTAAACCTATTTTTGAATTATTGCAAACAGCAAATGGACGAAGATCTGCTTAAACAAATTGAAGTTGAAACTAGGAACCAGTCTAGATGTAGCCTATGGTCTGAAATGAGATACGCACAGATAACAGCATCGAAAGCTTATGAAGCAGCACACTGTGCTACCTTGGATGGAACACTAGTAGAAAATATACTGGGTGCCAAAATTTTTCAAACGGAAGCCATGAAAAGGGGCCTTGAATTAGAAAAAGCTGTCTTGAAGGTACTTTTCAGGGAAACTTCCCAAATCTTTAAAAAATCTGGACTCTTTCTTTCAAGAGATTGTCCATTGATAGGTGCGAGTCCAGATGCCATAAATGAAGATTACGTTGTAGAAATAAAATGCCCTTATTCAGATAAAACGTTTAATAACTTTATAGATGTTGAAGGCAATATAAAAAGTAAATATTATCATCAAATATAAATGCAGATGCGCCTTACAAACAAAAAAAAATTATTTATGTTGTAGCAAGCCCTGATTTTGAGAAAAATAACAGAATTACTTACAAATACTGTGATTATGATGAAAAATTTGTTGATACTATGTTGAATAAATTAACACATTTTTGGATTAATACTATTTACAATAAAATTTAAAAGCATATCTTGTGGTTTCACTTTAGTAAATAATACTGTACATTTATCAAAGCACATGCTACTATTACAATGTTATCCAAATATTATAGTAAACTCGAGTGAACACAAGCATGGGGCTCTAAGACGGCATATTCTCGTATTCTTGATATGACTCTTTCGATGTGAATTCGCAGACTTGCAATCCTTTTGGAATGTTTGACATCCTGCTTTGAATTTTTATTTTTTATCGAAACTGATGGTGGTCTAATTAACATGTTACTTTTTGGCATTAAAAGTTCATCAATGTGTTTAAATCCACGATCTGCCATTACATGTGCTTTATTTTCTAACACATGCAAGAACCCTGATTCTTCCACGATCATTTTATAGGTAATCCTGCAACCAAAACCTCTAGAAACATAGGAAATAAGGCCATCAGGAGTACAAGCTATTAGGTATTTCATAGTATTGCTTTTTTTATATTCCGACCAAGAAAATGACTGCAGGATGGGGTTTCCTGGTTTCTGGATCGAGATTTCAAAGTAATCGATTATGCACTGCACATTTTTTAATCTTCTTCGAAAAGGTATTGGCAAACATTTTTGGATTTCTGAAAGCGATTTCCACTGGATAAACGACTTTAAATGTTCAGCTATTTTGGCACTGTTTTTTTTTAATTATCGAGCAAACTTTTGCAGCCGATATACAAAAATCTTCTGCTATTATTTTATATGGAAGATTAAGGGCCGATTTCACCAACATTATTATTATGGACCAATAGGAAAATACCTTATCGAAATGCAATTTGACGGAAGCTGTCAAAGGTCTCAGAATATCAGTGATTTCTATTAAAATGTTGAATAAAATCGTAAAAATTCGACTGTATGATAAACAAGATAACTTTTTGATTCCAACATGATGCTTTTGTACAGAAAAAACAGGACAACTTTCATGTATTTTGATATATGTTATAGGTTTACATTTAACCATCCATTATCCACTCAGCGAATGAAAATGGGAGAAATAATAGGTCGATTTTTTTGAATTGTGCGGATTTGCAAGAAAATAGAATATAAAATGTATTCCAACCAATTTCTCATCTCTCTTCAAAGCAATCAGAACAGTATGTCGTCCCCATCCTAAAACACCGATATGTGTAAAACATGTTAATCCCTACATCTCCGAGGTGCATAATGCAATTACTGTAGACATAGATCTAAAATTATTAGTAATTACTGAAAAATAAGAGCTAAAAAGAATTATAAATAGTGATAAAATATTGGAGGTTAAGGTTTTTGACTGGTGACTGGTGGGGATACAATATAGGGATGGCGACGATAGACGATACATTGATGTAACGAAAACATCGATACATCGGACGTAGAACATCGATCTTTACGCATCGATGGTTTCATGACGATATATCGATATCGAGAGGAATCATAAACATCCGTAACCGTATACCCCGAGTCTATCCTTAACTGTGCTACCATCTACCAAGCGAGGACTGGTAGCTTCGAAATTGAAAGGCCAGAAAGCTATTTAGGTGTTTAGTAGTATTTGAATATTATCATTACAGATGAGCACTGAGCCACTGAGTGGCAACTGAGCACTGTAGTCTTTTCTTCATTCTGTACGTCCCCAAGGGATAGAATAAAATAGACGGAAAACAGCGCGTTTAATGATTTTCAGTTCTCAGAGATAGATTTTCCCCTGCCGGCCCTTGACATCATTTCGAAACACGCGACACAACATGAGAGTTGTTTAATACTGTTATGGGAGCAACTTTAGTATCAAAGATATTAACTAAGGTAGAGTATTTTAAACACAAAAACTGCGATGGTTTTATCAGAAGAAAACACTATATCTCTGATCCACAGAAGCAAAGCGAATCTCAGGCTTTCGATTTTCCCATCACTAGTGTGATGAAATGACATTTGTCCCTTCTTGGATTACTTTAAAAAGTGATGTGCTTTCCACTTCGTTTCATTAAGTGGCGTTCAGTTCTAGGAACTAGTTTGTGAACCAACTACTTTATGCAACAATACCACAAAAATATATATACAGAAACAGAGCAGATATTCCAGTCTTTCAGTCGAGATAACGTAAAAACGATTCGATTCATATTTTTTAACCGATCCAATACATTCCACTGATCGCAAATGTATTCTCCCATCACTAACATTATGAGACACTAAATTCAAATGTCAATTCCGATCTCCTTTGGTCTATTCTCCTTCTCCAACGTCACTGTATTCTATGTTTTGTGATCACTTGTTTTGTTATGTGTGAAAAAAGGAATTTTATAACAACAAATTTCCGTATAAAAGTGCTCCCTGCAAGATTTTTTTGTGTAGAAATACATATTACACTGTCGTGTACACGCTAAATCTGCACGAACCCCTAAATACGTGGTTATGTTGAAGGTACCATCACCGATGGTGCGACTGATTATACACTGAAATTAAAACAAACAAAAAACTGCAACTGCAATTGTATGTATGAATGTTGAAACTGTTGAACAGTTTCGGACCAGTGGGGTTGAAATATCGTTGAGGAACTGGAAAGAAGTGTATGAATGTGTTGAAATGCAACACCTAACAAAAATTTGAGTGAAAAGGCTTTTTCATGTAAGGGTTTGGAAGTGCAAGTTTGCAAATATAGGATAAACTATAAGCACACAGTAGGTGATATAATCATCATGGATTACAAAAGTTGCAGTAAACATGGAAAAACCTTCAGCTAATCTGAAAAAATAGATTTTTCTCAGACATCAAGCATTTTTTAAAATTTTGGCTCAGTTTTACATAATTTCATAATACTTAATAAACTGAAAAGATTTCAATGGCAAGCTGTCACTTCATATTTTACAGTGTTTTGTTTTGAATACTTTGATGCTATTTGCTGCCAAAAATTTGACGGAGAGATCTTGAGGCTGATTGGGTATATTTAACGGACTGTTTGGTACTGGTACCCTATTATTGCAGAATAATGGTTTGTTAAATTGTGAAATCCACCCTAAGATTAAGATATAAATATTTCAATTTTTGATAGCTGACATCTTGTGGAAAGCATGTCAACTATAAAGATTGAGTGACTAGGTAACCTAATATAAACTTTGGGATTTTCTACATTTTTCTTGTTATTAAATTGTTTTTCAGCATCTTTCGTTGAAGTAGAGTCATCTGATGTTTCCGTTGAAGTAGACTCATCTGATGTTGATTTGTATGAAGTCGAATAATCTGAGCTCGAACTACTGCTCGGCGAATAACTTGTTCTTGTGATATTTTTTGATGGTATTTGCTTTTGTTTTTCCTTAGGTGTTGCCCTTAATATATCACACTGAACGAATTTTGTACTCATTACGGCCTTAATATTAACCTGAACATACTTATATATCTGCCGATCTTGTCCCTGGATATTTTTAGAACTACTTTCTAGTCCGATTTGCGAAACATTTATGCTAGAATCGCTGCTAGACGATGAAAAACACTTCGAGTATATCTGGTATGTGCAGCTTTTCGCTATTTTTGGCAATCAAAAATGTGTGGAACCACTCCCGGTCTAATCTTGATTCTTACATTTTTCATTAGCTTGCAACGCATGTAATTTTCCACATCATTTTCAAACTGAAATCAAATATACGACATTAATCATAATATAATTCACATAATTATAAAAGCACTGACATTAAAATGATCCTCACAGCAATACTTTGTTGACTTATTGTTCACAAATTCAGATCTATGCATAGCTTTCTGCCACAATTCTCTTGTTTTTATGTTTCTTGGCAAAGTAATAAACATTTTATCAGGGCTGGTCACACTAGTGTTTTTACATTGCGGAACGATACTGTATTTGTAATTTTTTTGTGTGTTCTACTTCCATTATATTGCAATCTGCTTAAATATTGAACGAAAAAAAAAAACGAACAAGTATAACTTTCAATAGACAAGCATCCGGTTATAACAGAGACAAATGCTGAACTAAACTTGTAACAGTTACCTTAGCGAGCGACGGATATCGTCTCCCAGTACCCGTGCACAACTACTAAACTCAACACACTCTTTCAGAATATGCAATAAAAAAAAGGTGCTGAACGAGCCTATTCTGATGGAACCGCTTAACGCCAAAATTAACTTCGTGCCGAAGATATTAACCCTAGTATAACCTGTTCGGATTAAAACCATTATAAATAGCAATGCTGTATTTCACTCCAACCGACCCCAAAGAACTGCAATAAGAGCAGTTGAATTTATTACCATATACACACATCTAATAAATTCAATAGACATTGGGCACTCCCAGTCGTGACCCTATATATCTTGTTAACCTACAGGAGTGCATTATGACACAGTATGAATAACAGATTTGGACAGGGGTCGGAAAGGCTATCAAGGGTGGCGATGTACATGCACATATATTATATGGTCAGTTTGTAGGATCGAATTCTTGGGACTCGAGATTACACACACCTGAGAAGCGTTCATTACAAATTACGGGAAACAAATCGGAGGATTCCATGACAGAGTACCTTGGTGGATAAATTCTGCGCATACCTCTGAACATTTTGTCAAGACCGTACCGATGAGATACTCGAAACTCGTGCCAGTAGGTTGAGGAATAACAGTGCAGCCGTGGCTTTTATTCCCGACCGTCTCTTCCATGCCAGAGACGTAGGTATCCCAGGTGATTTCAATAACCAACTCTGGTTGGGGCCAAGCAAGGTAGAAGCAGCGAGCTTTGCCATTGAACTGACCCAACAGGTGACGAGCCTTACTCTCTTCGTATTATCTCAAAAGTCCCCATATTGGCACAAAACACATAATTCTGACGGATCCGTCAAGTCAGGTAGTCAGAGTCGTATTTTGTTCTGTTTTTTGTACGCTACGGATTCATTTTGTACTTGCTATCCGCCCTTTTATTTAGAAAAGTTCATTTGCATACAAAAAACAAAACGCCACAATCAAATTTTACTAGATTTATATCCGATTCATTATTGCCGACGTTGCAGACTAACACAAAAATTTCACTTGCTGATCAGCTGTTTACCTCAATAGATGCCAAAACGTAATGGATAGTGGTGAAATAGGGTCTATAGATGACGTGTAGACGAGCGCATTCCAGTATCTTCCAACGACAAACGCCAACGTCACATGGGCTTGCATTCGTTTGCTCAGCGTTGGATTTTCGGTCTGTACGCGGCTTAACGGGCAGTTGTGGACCCGTTCGCCCCGACCGACGGCGATATGGCGTTTTTTGATCAGAGAAAATGTGTGCTTTATTGATATTGGGGCTTTGTCTAGGTATTCATAGTATCTAATGAATTCGAATAGATTAGAAGTTGTCAAGCCTATATGTTTACGATGGAGTTTTTATGGCCAACGTAACGTAGA